ATCAATATTGGTTGCAAGGAAAGTTACTGGACTTGGGAGCAGCGGGTGGCAGATCATTACACTACACTGGACATACAAAAGAAACCAGCTGATGTCTTAATAATTAAAAAGGATATACAAATAGAGTGCCCTGGAAAATTTTCCTACATAGTGGATTTACAAAAGAGACTTGTTAAAACTTTGAAGAATTTTGTGAGAAGGGACAAAGAAAAAGTGAAAAGTAATAAAGTTTTAGGACATTACTTGAAGGGACTAAAGATCAAGATCATTAGAAGTAAAAGGAAGGAATATAAGGTTGGCTTACTTGATCAAGGTTAAAATAGATATGTTGTTATCTCTGGTAACCCTTAATGGACTTTTGCTGACATCAGGATTGAAATGACAAGGTTTTATGGATTTGCTGATAGATAAGAGATGGGATATGGGAAGAAGAGATCATTTGTTATATTTTAAGAGGTGGTAAGTGACTGAAACTGTTTATACTTGTTGTGATGAAGGGGGAAGTCATTTCTTTATATCTTTCTTTTCTTTTTCTTTATTAAATTCTTTTTTTTTCTTTTCTATTTTTCTTTTTTTTACTTTTCTGCACTTTCCATTTTTTTCTTTATATTCCTTCATTTCTTGTAGTTTGTATTAGTTTTTACCTTTTAAATTGTAACTTTTAATAACAGTAGTATAAAAAAGAGAAAGAAAAATTGAAGTTGGAGGGAAGTAAAACCAAAGGAAGACAGTTGGAAATGCTTGGAAGAAGGGGAGAAAGCTGCAGTTCCTCTCAAGTCTCTTTAGACCTTCTTTCAATCAAGGGTCCTGAAAGGGCTTTTGAAAGGAAATGGCTCCTCTATCCAGCTGTTTGAGTGAGTTCAGAAAAGAAAGCAATTTCCTGGCTCTATTGAATACATAAGAAAATAAGAGCACTGAATAAATAAGCAGAGAGGAACAGACCAAGAGTTCATATAGCTCGGCTCTCTTGCTTGCTTTTTTCATGCTTAGGGCAAATGTTTTGTACTACAATTCCCATCATTCCTCAGTCCTGCAGCCAGTCCTGGGGTGCTGATTGAGCAGAGTTGTAAACACCTAACCCTACAGCCCCAAGTTCTGGAAAGCGACTCAACAGCAACTCAACTTGATGAACTTAACTGCTTCTGATCATGGAAGTTTCTTTCTGCAATCCAGACTAACTCCTCATACTTATAGCAAGGAAACCCACTGAGTCATTGTACCCCAAAGAAATGCTTTCTCCTAAACTGGCTATCTGATCAGAGGGTGACCTTAAGTTTGGGGTAATAAGCAACCGGGCATTCTTCTGATGTTTTCAACTTTAACCCTTATTAGGCAAGAAACTGGGGAAGTTGTAGTCGAAAACTTCAGCAGGCACCAGGCTGCCTACACTTGCCCTAAGTCAAGCATAGAAGAAGCAGAGCTGCAAGAACCGTCAAGAAAGTCTTCCAATCCATACTGATTATGTCTTGTGTATGTTTTACAAGGTCTATTCTCCCCACCCCCTTTGTTTGTCTTCTCTCTAAGTATAAGTGAAACCTTATACTTGCATTCACAGATGGAACTGTTCAGAAGAGGAGATGGTGGGATCTCTAGTTCATCAACTGAGCAACAAGACTGGATATCCAGCAGCTGGAGGAAAGGAAGGAGGACTTTTACATCCCACCAGCGATTGCAAGGCCACCTCCTGCTTTCTGCCTTTTTCTTATGTATTGGTCTCACTACAAACTGTGCCAAAAATGTTCCACCCCAGGACAATGTTCAAAAGGAATTCCAGGTATGTTGAATCTACAGCCCACAAGTTCCCAATGGCTGCAGAGCATCACAACATCAGCTTTGCGGGAAGTGGGCTATCAAAGACCCCGGCCCCAAGTTGTGCAATGATCCACCCAGAAATTATCCATAAGTCACTTGCTACATTTCCTGCCTTTCCCCAGCAAAGCAAGACCCTCTAGGGTAGTGTTTCTCAACCTTGGCCACTTGAAGATGTGTGGACTCCAACTTCCAGAATTCCCCAGCCAGCAT